GATTAGACTACTTGTGACGGGGCAAAATTCGTCAAGCGTTTCCCTTTGGATCGAGCGCATTAGTAGTCTAATCGAGAGTTGTCATTAATAAATTGTTGCCGAATTGCCGTGAAATCCCGATTTTGTGTATTCTCTCCGTCTTTATATAAATTTCATTGTGAATTTTTGTAAAACGCATAATTAGAATCCAATAAATTTTGCATTGACCTATGTGTGTGCCGATCCAAGTATATTAATATTTTATATATTAACTATAAGGTCTGGTATAGGCGACTTAGTTTAGTGGTAGAATTCTCGCTTTGGGTGCGAGAGGTCACGAGTTCGATTCTCGTAGTCGCCCTTTTTGCGATTGGCCTCAATAAAACTTTAAAATTTATCAAGATGAACACGAGCAATACCTGGTTTAAAAAACTGGCTTCAGACGACACAATTGACTTTCTTCCCACTATTTTGATAGTCATTTTGGTGTCTTGTATATTGTTTTGTATCCTTTGGATGATCATTAGTCTTGTTCGAAAAAGATCACATGTGCAACAACTAAATACCCACCGTGAAGCTGCTGTTGCGGCGTTTTTCGATACCGAAAATTTACGTGTTCTTGACAGCGTGTACACATCATCTGGAGATCCTTTAGGAAAGCTGTCTTCTTATCAACCTGTATTATATTTTATCAAAATAGAGCCGTTTGATCTTAATCGCAAGATCTGTAAGGTACATTTATTTTTCCTTGTTTTAGCCAATCTCTGTAGAGGTCCTTGCTAATCATAAGGATCAAACCTGGGTTCATATGATAGCAAGAATGCCCTGCCATTCATATGACGGCAATCAAAGCAATCTAGAAAAGCAACATGCAATGCATGGCCCCACTTCAAGGCTCAAGTTTGCTTCTCTCATCTGCAAATCAAACGCCCCCACAATCTTGCAATAATTTACGAAATTAAAAGACTCCTGCCATTATAAATAAGTAATTTATTAAGCAGACGCAAAAAACTATTCCATGCTCACGGTGGCACCGAGATCCTCCAAAGTCTTTTTAAGTTTTTGAGCATCTGCACTGGTTAGCTTTTCCTTTACAAGTTTAGGAACGGACTCTACAAAAGTTTTTGCCTAAAACGTGAGAACCCTAAATGCTGGCATACCTCAACCAAGTTAAGGCCAGGAAGGATGCCCTTGATTTCTCTTATAATTTTGGCCTTCGCAGCTGGATCTACTTTTTGCAAAATTATTTTAAACTCCGTTTGTGTTGGAGGAGCAGCCGGTGCTGGTGACTCGACTTCGGTAGCCAATGGGCCTGAACCGAGAGTAGAAAGATGCTGAGTAGCGCCCAGTTGAGTGGGAGAAAAGCCAACATCTGGAAGGTTAAGACGGGCCTAACTTTAAGTTAAAGAATAAAACTTTAAGGGATTTGACAAGAGCAGCTGTTTCTAAAAGTGTGAGTTTCTCAATTGAGTCGACTAATTGCTGGACAAGAGGAGAACCGCCAATGGAGTCAATGGATTGTGCAGGTGGATTTTTCTCGAGATTAAAACTGGCAGATGGAGCAGTAGTAAAGTGTTTGACTCGCCTTGAAAGGCAGGTAGAAATTCGGTCGACTCGAATCAACATTTTGAGGTGGAACGGCAATAAATTTATTGAAATTTGCACAAAATTTAAATCTTTAATTGCAAGTTATGAGGCGAAGAGTTCCTATCCTCTTTGTAGGGGCCTGTGTTGCGCTTAGTACAGCCTCTGTTTCATATTACAACTTTTCAAAGAAAAATGTCCATGTTTGGAAGGATCCTGTGGACGAGATCGGTGCTCATGCCTTAAAGTCGTTCTATGAGAGTAACTTTAGGGAAGCTAAACGGCTGTTTGCAAAAATATATGCACAACTTCACACCAACTCCGAAGCCATTTCTGCAGACTCACGTTGGTCCCATCCAATGGCAAAATGGAATCTTTTAAGGACTTTAATGCAAATCGAAAGGGAGTTAAATCCATCAAACTTACAAATTGCACAGTATCTCATACTAAGCTCTTCGGCTTTTGTTGCGGAAAACTCAAATTCGGAACAATTTTCTACCCTATTGGCAGATTCATGCATGGTCGCTGCAGATATTCTTCACAGAAAACAGAAGATTCAGGAGGCTCGGTCCTACTTAGATCTTGGATTATCATTTTTGACCCCGGTTTTGAATAGTCTCGTATCTTCAACTACAGCAGAGTCTCCAAAAGATATTTTGAAAAGGCATGTTGAGTTGTGTAATTCGATTTCTAGTCTATTAGAAACTAGCGGGGAAAATTATCTTTTGGATGGAAATTGGCTCAACGGGTATGATCATTTTCGGCAATCGTATGCATTACTTGCACAAATGGATCCAAATTCAGCGGCTGGGGATGATGATAAATCAATATTTGAAAAGCTACAGTTAGACCCGGCGTCAAGGAGATCAATCCTTTTTTATAATATGGCAACCTGCTTAGTTGGGCTTTCGAGATTCTCAGAAGCGAAAGCGTATTGTGAAACAGTTAGAAGTTTGCTTGCAAATAACCATGAAAGATCCGCGATGGATACGCTTAAGAGGCTGATTTTCCCAATGAATTTAATAGAAAAAACTAAAGACGAAAACATAAGTCTTTTGAACAGATACAAAGACATGAATATGCTATTACTTGGCCATATTAATATGGCAATGGAAAGCTCGGAAACAGCCATAGATCTATTTAGTGAAGTATTAAGGAACACTTCGGAGGCTGATTTGAGGAGGGAGGCACATTCCTATATGCGAAAATTGAAAAAATAAAATAAAATACCTGAGAAGGGACTCGAACCCTCAACCCTTTGATTAGAAGTCAAAAGCGCTAATCCTATTGCGCCACTCAGGCCTATGATGGTGGAAAGTTTTTAAATATATATAATAATATATATTTAATATGATCACTAAAACCCCCTTTTGGAATTCATTTATCACCTTTAGGCTATGTCTATCATTGTCGTTATCTTTATTTATCCTTATACAAGAATTTCTTCTCATCGCCATTAGATGAGCTTTTTTCCCTATAGATCCTCGATTGGTGTGTCGGGGCTGAGATGTATTTCATGCACTCAAAAGATTGATTCTATTTTGGCAGCCTTCTGCTCTGTAAATTCAAGCACCTATTTAAAGGCGTTTTCAGTCTCTTTTCCCCTATCAAAAATTTTTCTTGAAATCATGTCTAGCGATTGTAGTGATTCGATTTCTTCTTACCTGGAAAAACGGATAATTCCTTGCCTTGAAGAGGCCGGGTTTCCATGTTTTCTAATTGACCTTTCCCAAGAATTGGGGGTCAATGTTTCTACTGATATGAAGATGCCATACGATGTATTTATTAATACCAAATACTCGCCTAAAAATTTGTTTTTCAATGATGTGGCATTGTTATCTTCAGAAGAATTTGTACATTCTTCTGTAATCCCAGGAATTACTCTTAAAGGTCCATTAAAAAGAAACGAAGATCAAATGTCTTTTTATGCTAGCATTTCGGACAACTTCTCCATCTTAATTTCCCTACTTCCTGCTAATAGTACTATTGTAAAGATAGACTGCATTGATCGGTCAAAGGCGCCAAAGAGCAAAAAATATCTTTTCAACGACTTGATACTTTGTGTTGGGACACTAACACTTCAATTCGTGTTTTCCTTTTTGCCTATTTCCATCATTTTCCAGCTATTGCTGGTGATTGTGCTATTAGCATTTAGCACATACATTCGAATTGTGATTAAATTTGGGCTAAGAAACTTGGCTAATGGACATCCAACGATGGACTCGCTGGTGTCTCTGGCGCTTCTTGGATCATTTGTACTGGAAATCATGAATTTAGACGGTCTAGATCCATTTTTTTCCTTTACAATGCTATTGATATCTGTTTTGATTGGACGTATTTTGGAAGATCAAGCTGGACACAAAGGAGTCTGTTTGAATGCTGAAAGGACCATATTAGCTAAAATGCTAAAGCCAGACAACGAAAATTTTGTGGAGATCTTCATGTCGCCCGAGCTGCTATCCCCCGGAGATTTGGTCCGAATACTCCCGGGAGAAGTTGTGCCTGTAGATGGAAAGCTTGTTCTAGGAGCCTGTTCATATTTTGACGAATCATTTATAACTGGAGAATCCGTTCCGGTTTATAAAGAAAGCAATGCCATTACGATTTGCGATTGTAAAATTGTCAATTCGAAATACTCAGATATCGTATTGGCAGGAACAAAAAATGTCGCAATTGGGAGGCCGGTCATTATGGAATGTTCCCATTCTCTTAATGGGTCTATATCATCTTGTTTGGCCCGAATAACAGAAAGTGCGCTCTCGAAACAATCCAATGCTCAAAGATTTGCTGACAGCTTGGCCAAATGGTTTGTTCCTTTTGTTCTGGGATTATCTGGATTGACATTTATCTCGAATGTGATCATATTTTTGGACCTCAAACTTGCACTCGAAAGGTCCGTCTCTGTGATGGTTTCTGCATGTCCCTGTGCTATGGCGCTTGCAGCGCCAATTATTTTCTCTACTGCTATCAAGTTAGCTAGGGAAAGAGGTGTAATTTTTAATGGTATGTCATCCTTCGAATCCCTTTCAACAATTCAGCAAATCTTTTTTGACAAAACCGGAACAATTACAGCGGGGACGTTTACTCTGAAAGGACTATTTCTATATCCGGCAAATCGACAGGATTCTTATCGCATTTTGGCAATCATTAAGAGACTGGCAAGTACATCCACCCATCCCATTTGCTCTTCGCTCACCCATCATTTGCAGCTGTTGGACGGTGCATCGATGGAGGAGCATGCCGTTGATGATTTTTGCGAGATTCCTGGAAGAGGAATCTCGTGTTCTATTCGCATTTGTGGCGTTGGAAAATCAATCAAAGCTTTGCTCGGAAATTGGTTGCTGCTTGAAGAAAATGGAATTAAAGCACCGCAGGTTTGTGACGATTCGACAATGGTTTTGTTTGCCTTGGAAGGTGTACACATTGCCACGATTACGTTTTCAGAGTCCGTTCGGGAAGAAGCACCCTTTGTGATTGGTGAGCTATCCAAAATAATGCGGGTTTCAATCCTCACTGGGGATAGAAAGGGGGCAGCCCAGGCAGCTGCCATTGCTGTTGGGTTGGACTCGGATATCTTCTATGAGTGTGATCCATTTGCAAAGGAAAAAATTGTGCAAGATGCCGCTAGAGGCGATCAGAGCATGCGGCCAATTCCGGTAGCCATGGTTGGTGATGGGTTGAACGATTCTGCGGCAATGGCCAATGCTACCCTTTCAATTGCAATTGGAACGGGAAGTCCCTCCATTTTGTGGAGTAGTAAAATGGTGATTATGCGATCAAACCACCCATTATCACTGATTCCAGAAATGATACATCTCTGCCAAAGAGCAAAGAAATGGATATATGCTCTTTGGATTGGTTCGCTGCTTTACAATAGCATAATCCTTCCAATGGAAATGGGGCTACTCGGGGACATCTTCCTTCCTTCTTATATGGCATCGCTTTTGATGTCACTGTCCAGCATCGGCGTTCTCGTGAGTGGTCATTTGTTTTCTTTTTTTAACTCTTCTGCAAAACTCATGTCACTGGCAAAGATCCAAAAGGCTTAGAAGCTCCATAGAAAACAACAAGCTTGACACCAATCCCAACTAAGCGTTAAAGACTCTAAATGTGTGTGGAAAGTTCAAATTCAATAAATTGAGAAAGACCATTTCCAAATTCTCCTTCGAACCTAAAAGAGCATGCGGAGAAAAAGGTATCATGCCAAAAACAACTCCGAATTTTTGTAAAACACTTTTAAATGGGTTTGGTGATCATAATTAGTGTGGCTCGGAACATCCGACATTGATAAATACTAGTAGACCAATCGCTTATTAGCGATGTGTATTGCCCTTCATTATGCTACAAAAAATACCAAAGCTACCGACTTTCTTGCTTGGCTTGGAAGGGCATATCAGTTATAGTCAATGCAATGCTTATAGGTAAAATAATTACATGCGCTACATATGAGGGCACAATATCAATCCACAATAATATGGCAAAATGTCCCAAAGGCTAGTAAAAATGTGCACACTAATAAACAGGTAAAAAAGCGGCCGGTCGAGCGATGCTATTTAAACACTTTATGTAAACTTCTTTTCAGAAGTGGATATCCACTGTTGGATTTATAGCTGGTTTTCGCAGTTGAGGCTAAAGTGCTGGTTTGTCTTGAATTCTTTTTGAAAATTCGTCGTCTGGGAAAAAATAAGAATCAATCAGATCAAGATAACCGGGATTGTTGTGAATACTGGGATATATAATCTCCATGGGAACATTTTTTCCTCCCAAAAATTCAACAATCTCATCAAGCCAATATGAGCGGATACCAGGACAAGTTTCAAGAGACACTAGTCCGTCTTCAGAAACGTCAATAGCTTGGCCATCGACGCTCAATTCGTTCATTAGCAGTTTTTTGGCCTCCTCCCCTTGACCATACGAAACTCTAATTCCGTTCCATATGTTTGTAGAAAAGAGCTTATATAATTTCTTGTATATATACACCTGTGCGCCAGAAATGGAGAAAAGCACCATTCCAGTTCCAAGTAGAGAACCAGTTTCACCAAAATGGCCGCCAAATATATTTAGCAGATACCTTGGGATGTTTCCAAGAAGGTAAAACGAAAAGAGTTGCAATAAAAATCTCAAGGGTCTGAACATTCTCGCTAGAAAATTTGGAAGCATCCAGCCAAGCGAAAAAAGGAAGCAAATCATAAACATAGTCAAAGACTCATCGCATCTTCGAATAGCTAAAGATGGGTATGGGGCATCATATATCATCTTTACAGATGGTCTCCATCCCCAATATATACAGTTGATTGTGAGGATCGAATAAAAATCCATCCAATTCCAAGGCCTTTGGTAGGCCATCAAAAAAGGACCACCAATAAAAATCAATAATATCATCTTAATATGTGGATAGGTTCTAAAAAACAAGCCAGACACCAGGGTTAACTGCCTCTGAATTTGAACAGAAATAATTTGAGATTGAATTGGAAGGCCAAAGATCCAATTTTGGGCAAACTGGATAATGTTAAATTTACCAAAAGATTGCGAATAGATAAACCAGTGAAGGAATTTAACATTACCAGATGCAACTGATGGCTTTAGCGGTATACGAGAAATAGCATTCCGGAACAAGGAGATGATTCCATTCGGCGTAAAATGATAATTCTCGCCTATAAAAAGTGACTTCAAAATGTTTTTTGGCGAAGATCTTAGTACTTGATTGAGAATACTTTCCGCGCTTATAGACCTTGGCGTCATAGTAGTTACAAATAAAGACCAAATGATCCACCAAAGACGCTTAAAGGATGTAAGTACTGAACCTTTAGGTAAGATTACCAATTTTGAAGATAATAAGATTCCATAAATAAATGCCTCCATGATTAGCCGGCAAAAATGCCTGCCGTGATGCCCATCTCTGAATGAATTAAAGGAGTAGTTTTTCGGTCTATAAAGTAAGGTCTCAAGCATAGCCCGTGGACTCCAAGAATAATGCTCGCCTCTAAGGAGGCTGTGTTCCCTCTCTTCTTGGCTCAATTCGTTAGAAAAATCACCAAAATCCTTCAATGATGATTGCGAGACGTAACTGTAGGCATCTTTGTTTCCCTTGAGATTTTCCAAAATCTGAAAAATCGCAAGGTTATCAATCCCAAAAGCGAGCCGTTGTTTTGAAAAGGCCCGAATAATGGGCCGAAGAATACTCCATGCATCGAAAAAGCTCGTAAACATTCCGGTATCGCAAAGGAGGGCTACAGCAAGTTGCGGAATATTCTGGGATAATAACCTATTTTGCTTTCCCTTTAAAGCTTCAAGGGGAGACGCCAATGGAATGGGGTTGGTCGATTGATACCCTCCAGCCTCAATGGAGGTTGCTGATGCTTCTGCTTCACAAACATCCTCAGAATAAATGGTGTAAATTAAGCCAACAAGCTGAAATGGGTCGGTATGAAAAGGGCCGCCCTTATTACATGAGAAATACCCTATAGAAAATAGGATCATGAATATAGGAACCGAGAGTATTATACATGAATATCTATCATTTGTGGATGGGCTATCCCAGACCAGAAAAAGAAGACCCAAAAAGGTAAAACTAACAATGGAAATATACTTGGAAATATTGGTAATAAAGTCATTGGGATCTCTAGAAGTTTTAAAGTGTATATTCCTCCAATCATCATCGTATGTGACATGAACATCTCCCCAAGAGCTATAAACGAAATACAAATATGGGAACCATGTTGAAATTCCAAAAATAGATAGGTCAAAAATGACTTTGATTATCCCTGTTGCAATGAAAATAGTGGATGCAAGGAAGTATACTCTAAACTTTGCATCCGAATATGCAACTTGAAGCCAGTACTTTGAACGAGTTAAGAATCCCGTTTTGAGTTCCTTCCAGATTGCCTGTAAATATGGAACGTATTCCCTCCCCATAAATAGGTCAACAAAAATAGTGGCTGCCTTAAAACAAAACATAGAGGTCCCAAAAATGCTCTTGATAAAAAAGTAATCAAGATAAAAAATAAAACCCAGCGAAAATAAGACATACTGAGACAAGAATAGCGCCAAATTAATTGCCTTATTAAGAAGTAGGATCAAGCCACAAGACAATAGTAAACATGGAATCCATTTTGAAAAGATGAAATCAATAGCTTGGATCAATGCAATCATTATGTAAGGGAGTGGAGAGTATTTGAACGAATAAATAAAAACGTTTCCAGGCAATAGTGAGTCATATTGCCATATATAAAACAAGATGAATATTACACATTTTGCTGAAATTGAGCAACGGATTTCTTCGCTCTGAAACTTTGATTGGATAGAGTCAAAGACGTAATATATATTCAAAATATTAAAGACTATACTGGGACTATAAAGGACTGATGGATCTAATGTCGGAAGGGTGATGTTTACAATCTTAGGTAATCTTCTTTTAAAGAAACGACCAAGCTCAAAAATACCCTTGGGCTGCGGGTTTTGACTTTCCGCAACATTATTCCCAAATTCAAGGATGCGAGAAAGCCAGTACCAGTCTTTGGCGTAGCGTTTTATCAATCCAATGCTAAAGTTGGAAACACCGGGAAATGTTTGCCTGAAAAAATCCAAAATTCTTTTAAGTAAGCTTCCATTTATCTCTGTTTCGTCAAAAGATAAGTAAGAGGTAATGTAAATTGAAGCCACGAATATGCCTCGTTTCGAAAAAAAAGGAAACACAAAGAATAGGGTTAATGCGAGAAAGAAAAAAGCCTCAATATGTTCCTGGAATATATACAAAGCATCCGATAATATATCACTAAGGGAGATATTTTGGATGAGTGGATCGGGCGTAGCCATTTCTTTAAAAAGGAATGATTTCGGTTGGCTTTTCAAATTCAACTGTCCAATGGAAGGATAGGTTTAATTTTGGAAATTTTAATATTTTATTCTAAATGAAAATCCTGACCCATAACTTGCTTCAATGTAATGTTGCTTCCAAGCACTGTAAAGGACCAAAGTATCCCCTGGAAATTGAAGCTGCAGATAGCACGGATTTAGAAAAACCAAGCTGGACATATACCAAAACAGAATATGAGCCTGAATTCCTTGAACGCCTGATATCGAAGATAAATTGGCCAGTTCTTCGGAAAGCAGCAGAGGCCATCCAAAAATTTGATCCCTCAATAGTGTACCCAGAAACACCACCCTATTACCAAAACACTACAGAGGAGGCCATGGAGATTTCTAACGGCCCCTCGGACCTTCTTACCGTTGCGTGGTGTGATAAAAACGAGCCTAATTCTGAAAAGTGGTGGAAAGCATTAAATTTTTGGATG